TTAATGGCATTCAATTGATTTAATGGGTTGTTTGTTTTCATTCCAAATTCTAGAATATGCGTTTGCCTTAATTTGTGTTAATTCATTTTTGATTCGGTATTGGGTTTTTTGGATTAATTGCTTCCGCTATTAACTGATTCGTATTTTTGTATATGAGATTTATTCGATAAATCCAAAAAAATCCGGGAATAAATTCACAACAATGGTATCTGAGTCCGGAAACCGATTCCGAAATTGAAAGATAATTTGGTTTGAGTTTTGTAAGACTCGAATCGTGGTAAAAGGCTAAACCCTCAACTCTCTAATTTCGGTATATATTAATCTTGGTGAATCTTGGTGAAATTGTTATTAGATAATATGTTGAATTTCTTTATGTTGGTTGGCTATGCATTTCTTGGTGATTAGATTGGTGTATAATCTTGGAATTGATTGTTTTCCTTATATTTTTCCTTGGTGATATTCTTGGGAGTTTTGTTGTCCCTTGATTATATTCTTGTTATGTTTCTTGGGTTATGTTGATAGCATAGTGAAATTTTTTTTGTTCTAGCCAAATTGTTGTAGTAGAATGCATGCTAAATCTTTTCTTTGTGTATTAGATATTGCATGTTAGGTGTTAATTGGAAAATGCCTAAATAGAATTGTAAATTGGATAATCAAGAATAAAATTAGTTTTGTTGCATTATGTGATTTCTTGGTAAAAATGCATCATTCTTGATTTGTATACTATGTGATTAGTTGTTTGTCATATCATGTTTTGATTGATTGCTTTGTGATTGCACTCCCGGGTTTTCTTAGTGGTAGTATTCGATCGAATTCGGTGCTTAGTGTTTTGCTTTCCGTCTAGTCGCTTAGTGTTCTTCTAGGGTTAGCTTTGTTCCTAGTTGCTTAGTGTTCCTCTAGGTTTCGTCCTAGTTGCTTAGTATTCTTCTAGGTTTCCTCCTAGGTTGCTGAGTGTTCTTCTAGGTAGGATGTCTGAGTGGTTGCGTCTCCGGAGATCTTAGTGTTAGTGGTCGATCGATCCAGGTTCTTAGGTTGTGCTTAGCCCATAGAGGTGTGTGCTACAGCCGTAAAGTTTAGTGCCTAAGGTTTTCTTTGTGTCTAGTGCTAAGTGTTCTCTAGTAGATATCAAATAAGGTGGAGCTCCTATTATGTGATTCTATATTTTTGTATTCGGCATGTGTTTGCTTTCCTTTGTGTATATGCATGTATGTTGTTTGATTGTGTAGTATTTGTGCTCTTTGTACTAGGTTGTTATGTGATCTATCTAGGTGCATGTTAGGATCTATGTGTTCTTTGTGTAAGTGTTTTATCTGCATTAACGTTTGTTTGTAGATGCAGCGAAAAACAAAAGACAATGATGAAATCCATTGATACTAGGTAAGTCTATATCTAGTAAATACGTATTTGGGATTTGGTTAAATCACGACCAAAATAGGTGGAGATTGTTGGGAATTTTGGCCGTTCAAGGCCTAATCCGACAAGTCCCTTGATAAATAAATAAGTTGGCCCACTCCTTAGCCCGGCCCACCGGATTCGAACCCAAATCCAATTCTCAAACTCATATATCAAACCCTAAGTCAATTTGTTATGTTGTTATGTTGGTTATAACCGTGTGTATATTTAATTAGATATAAAATGTGAGATTGGGGGTTTTATTTGGGAGTCAGTTTTGAGTGAGATACAACGGATTGTGAAATCGAGGGGGTGGGAGTGATGGAGAGGGAGAGAACCGCGAATGGAGTTCCGGTGACCCGAGAGGATTCTGGTGAGTTCCGAGTGGTTTTTCAGGCGAGTGAATAGCCCTTTCCGGTGGCCGATTCCGGTGGGTGTCGAGGTTTAGAGTGAAGAGTTGACCTCTACCTTGAGGCGTGGTTACCATAGACCATCACGCACCATGGGGCTGAGCCAAAAACTGCCGTCCCTTCGCCGGTGAAAGAAAGTTCGAAAAAGGTTGGAGCAATCGTCGCAGAAGCTGCTAGATTTTGGTTTCCTCGCCGGAGTTAGGAGTTGTTGTTTCATCGGTCGTTGCTCGGAGAAGATGATTTGTTGCTGCCTAGTGTGGAACCGTCGCTGTGAGACCGTCGGAGAAGGAATTAGCCGCCGCCTGCCGCCGTGCGCTGAAGCCGTTTATCGATAGGGAAGAAATCAAGAATTGATTTCACAGTTCGTGTTTCGGTTGAGGTCACAGGAAGGATTTCAATGGCATTTAATTGATTTAATGGGCTGTTTGTTTTCATTCCAAATTCCAGAATATGTGTTTGTCTTAATATGTGTTAATTCATTTTTGATTCGGTATTGGGTTTATTCGATTAATTGCCTCCTCTACTAACTGATTCGTATTTTTGTATACGAGATTTGTTCGATAAATTAAAAAAATATGGCAATAAATTCACAACACATAATATAATATTTTTATTAAAAAGTCTGTTGGATTTATGCTTATATTTTTTAAAAAAATAAAAATTGAACTTTAATATAATATTTTATTTTAAAAGTATATTTTTTTACTGAATTTTTTAAATAGTAGGAAAATTAATTTTGATTACAAACCGAACAAATAAAAAATGTTTAAAATATTAAGTTTGAATTGATATATATATATATTTTTATGACGTGGGAACCTTCCATTACAAAAAAATAGTATATTTGTAACGGAATTTTGTTTCTAAAGATCACATAACTAACGTAATTCCATCATTAGTTCCGTCTCTAATATCATTAGTAACGGAAAAAGTGAATTTAAAACGAAAAAATTTCGTTACAAAAATGATATTTTCTTGTAGTGTTCAGTCGCTATCCGAAAGTACGTACTAGGTAAACACCTGGCCGAACCTAATACCCTGCAAACTAGGCTCGACATACAAGTCACACTAAGCGAATATTTTTTGTGTATGGCACATGAGACTTTATTCGTAATATAAAAAATAATATTTTGTATTATATGATTAGTTTTTTACGAGTGAATAATATATATTAATATGTATATTTTTTTTTATCTAATAATATTTATGAGTAATTGTTCAATTAAAAAATATTATATGAACAAATTTTAATTATAATTGTTTTTTATATTTTTGATGTAATTTTTAATACTTAACCTAAAAGAATATTTCAAACTAAAACCGTACAGAAACAAAGTTTAAAAAATAAAAAAAAAGAAAAGCATGTATGAATGATGTTGGAAAATCGTTATAAGGTTGAAGTTGGTGCGGTGCCCTCAACAAACCAGAGATTCGTTTTTCGTGTGGTTTTTGAAAAATGGAAATAAAAGAATAAAATATATAAATTAAAATTAAAATAAAAAAAAAAAAAAAAAAAAAAAGGAGTTATGGAAAAAAGACAAACAGAATCCGTTGGTATGTGAGAAATATGGGAAAAGTAAAAGCACCAAAAACACATTATAGAGAGGGGGGCAGTTACGCACCCCGAGTCACCCCACCCCACCCCACCTCACACGAGGTGTACTGGTTCTTGGGAGATCCATGGACTGAAGCTCCAGAGGAGTAGGAAATGACTGGAGGGACCTGAGATCCCCGGAGTGCGTACAACAACTGTAACCACACGTGTGTCTGTTTCTGGTTTCGAAGAAGACACAATATAATAATAATAATAATAATAATAATAATAATGTTTAGACAAGTGTTTTGGAGTTTTCGGATGCGTTTATTTTATTGATTTTAAATGTTTAAGTTTCTTATTAAAATATTTTGTTTTATGTGATATTTTGTAATAAATAATTTGTTTATGTAAATTTTGTAAACTTCAAATGGTAAAATATTGAAAAGAAAATAAAAAATTAACATATTTATTTTGAAAAAGTTTAAAAAATAATTTTTTTTTTCAACAACAGAGTATGTATATTTCTATTTTATATTATCCAATTACTAATTAATTATTTAAAAAATATTTTACTTTTTTCCTTTTTTATAAATACGGTTATTTTATCCAATTATATTATTATTTTTTTAAGACTTTGAAACTCATTAACAATTTGAATATGCGTAGGTCAAACACCATTCAATAAGGACGGTCGAAGGGTTAGACAAAGACTTTACAAAACTATGAGAAAGTTGGATGCAGTTTTGGAAGTACTAAGATTTGACGCAATTTTGTAAAATTAAAAATAAATTTTGTACAATTTTTTTTTTTTATATTATACAATTATTTCAATTTAAAAAATTTTATCTTCGAATCTCAAATCTAAAATCCAAACTCTTATACAAATATACCCTATCTTATTATTTTTATTATGGTGCCAAGCAAAATACAGTGTGTTTTTTTAATTTTTATAAAATTTTATTATTTAAACTTTGTATATATATAAAAAAAAAGAAAAAAAAATATTTTTTTTTTACGAATTCACCCAAAAGAAACTTACAAAAGTTTATTTTGCCAAAATTTTTAAATTTTATATTTAAATTCTGTACTTTTCAAAATATATGTATATAAAAACTAATTTACTCAAAACTTAAAAAAATAAACACATCCATCTTGACAGAAACAATATAAAAAAATATATACTCTCTCCCCGTCCTATAAATTAGGTATTTATTTACTTTTTACACGAAATTTTAAAAATATTAGTATTATATTAAAATGTAGTATGAATAAAGTAGAAATGACTAAAATAACTTTATTACTATGGTGTGATATAAAGGTAATAATATTTGTGTAATATATTGTAAGTTGTAAAGATATTTGTAATATTAGGTAGATAGTACAATTATTTAAAATAAATAAATAAATAAATATTTTATTATAAAACAGATTAAAATAAAAAAAATGAATATTTTGTCAGGACTAAGCAAGTATATAAAATTGAAGCAAAAGTGTGGTGGTTGTTTGATTAGTTAGCGCAGTGAGAGTGAGTCCCGAGGTGAGGTTCATATCACCGAACCCCTCTCGTTACATTTACATCAACATCATGTCGCTTATTCAATTTTATTATTATTATTATTTATTTATTTATTTATTCTTTAAAATTAATTTAACGGTTCGATAACTTCTGGAGTCTTCTTCATTCATTGATATCATACCTATAACTTAGCTTCTTCACTCGTTCTTCTTCTGCTATATATTCTTAACAGTGACTAGTTTCTTCTCAGCTCAATGGATCTGCAGCAACAAGTATCAAGAGGGTTTCCAATTCCAACTACAACTGCGACTACGACGTCGTTTCATGAAGTCTCCTGCAAGCCAAATGCAAATGCATCATCTTCTTCATCTTCATCTTCATCTTCGTCATGGTCATGCAGCACAGTCAGCAGAGGCCATTGGAGGCCTCGCGAGGACGCCATTCTCAAAGACCTCGTCGCCACTTTCGGACCCCACAACTGGAACCTCATCGCCCACAAAATGCAAATGGACGCCTACGCCTGCAGATCAGGTATTATTTCATTTCACCAAATACATATATATATATATATATATATTAATTAATTAATGAATTACTCCTGTAGGAAAAAGCTGCAGGCTGAGATGGTTCAACCAGCTGGATCCTCGTATAAATCGACGGCCGTTCACCGACGACGAGGAGGAACGCCTGCTGGCGGCGCAGTCATTGTACGGCAACAAATGGGCCATGATCGCCCGCCTCTTCCCCGGCAGAACAGATAACGCCGTCAAGAATCACTGGCACGTCATCATCGCCCGAAATCGAAGACACCGCCGCCGCCACTCTAATAATAATAATAATAATAATAATAATAGTAATAATAATGGAAGCTCGGCCTGCTGTTTGTTTTCCGATCACGACCGATTATCTACTCATCAGTCGACTGGCACTGATCTCTGCCTCTCCAGTTTCGGACAGCCTCCACGTAAGTGCGATTCTTTCTTCATCGTTATCTCCGAATTGAACAGGATAGGGATAGGATTAACCAACCCTAATTTAATTTGTCGAATTAATTAATTAATTGTTAAATGCAGTAGTGGGTGGATCTGCAGGGGGGCATTCGGATCGATCAAACTCATCAGATTTGGATTCATCAGATTCCTCAGTGCCCGAGCTGTTGTATGTCTGTGGCAAATACAGCAAGGATTTCATCGATTTTCTTGGAGTGGGACCCACTTGATTGATCCAATTAATAATTTAATTCATATATATATATATATATATATATATGGGTGGATTTTGGACCTACGAGTTCGAAAAAATTGCTAATTTGAAATTTTGGGAATTAATTGAAATGTAAGTGTAAGAAGGTCTTATAAATATTGAATGCCAACAAGAGCCGTTAGCAATTATTAATGTTTCTCGTCCCGTAAAGATGGCCGGCACGGTGAGGTGGGGGTTGAATGTGTGACTGTGAGGTCATGGGTTCTTCTAGCGTGACTTGCTTGTCTGACCTAGTTTGTAGGTATTAGGTTCGATGAGAGATTTACCCACTGCGCATTTTCAGATTGCTACTGTAGGTTTCGACGTCGTAAAAAAATATATTATTAATATTTCTCTATTATTATTATTGTTGTGTTTTGTAAGATTTTTATTTTTATTTTTATTTTTAGTACGAAAAATTGAAGAATGGCAATCTGTCTGTACTGTAAAAAGAAATAAAAAAAAAATGGCTAAAGAAAACAAACACAAGGTGGGTAGAAAATATTTTTCCGACTTTTCATATTGGGAAAGAAACGGCATGAAGCTTTTTTTTTTCTAAATTATATTCACTTCCTTCCATATAATTTATCAATAATTTTTATTTTCATTCCTTTCACATTTTTTTTTAAAAATAATTATACAAAATGTAATTTAAAAATTTTAATTTATACTCTTTTTTTTTTTTAATTTTAATTCCTAGATCCTTATTATAAATAAAATAATAATAATAATAATAACAATAACAAAAATGTCTTTATTATTAGACTCTACATAATTATTTATTATTTGAATTTTCGAAAAAATTATATGTTTTCTTTAGAGAAAACATATAATATCCAATATATACTTATTTAAATAAAAAACTCAAAGCATCAAATCCAATTCATTCTAAAAAACACACCATTTTTTTAAAAAAAAATATTGAATTAGGATCTCGATTTGGAGTTATTAAGAAAACAAAAAAGAAAGAAAAAGCCTGATGAGCATTTCAAAATTGTTGACCATTAATTTAGGCTATATTTATATATTTTTTGAACTTTATTTTTATTTTATTCATTAACTATGTTTACGTAGAAAGTTTTTTTGAAAATTTTAATACTAATCGATAATAATTTTTTTTAGAATTAAATATTTTTTTTCTTATATAAAATATTAATACTATAAAATCTTCACTTTTTACTATTTTTAAAATTTTAAAAATTTCATCTAAGTAGAGCTTTATATTTTTCCTTACAATTGATCATATGAATATTTTTACTTGAAATATTATAGTAATATATTTTCTATTTTAAACATCGCATGTTTTTTTTAATTGATCCATTTTTTTTATTTTGTTTATTACTCTATTTTTTAAAAAATATATCATATATACGATGAATTTTTATTTTTTTCTTGAAATATTATATAAAAACATATTTCCTATTTTAAATATCATATACAATATTTAATTTTTATTAAAAATTTTATCATTCCTACCTAAAATTTAGTGTAAAATCATAAGCTAAAATAAGCATCTAACCAAAAGATTGTCCAAGTGATCGAGTTTTTTAAAGCTTTGAATTTGAGTTTGAGATTTCAAAATAATAAACATTTAAATTGAAAAAAGTATTTGATGTAAATATGAAAAGATATTTAATTTTAAAAATAATAAATATTTAAATTGAAAGAGCATTTGATGCAATATAAAAAGATATTTAATAAAATATTTCAAATGATAATATAATTTTTTGTATAATATATTTGATTTGATAGTTTAAAAGGAGGTGATGAATATGTTAAGACCAAATTTAATTTTCAAGAGAATTAATTTTGGTTTCTTTTTAAATGAAATAACAGATTAATATCATATATATTTTTTTTAAAAAAAAAAATAAAGATTAAATAATATACATATACAAAAATTAAATTTTTCAAAAAGGGTGGGACAAGTGAATGAATGCGGCCAAAAGTAATGAGGTGAAATAGTGTATGGTTTACTTTGTTGACTGATTGGGGAATATTATTACGTGGCTTTATTGAATCTTTTTTGCTGGTTTGTTACTCAATTTTGTTCCTTTTCTTTCCCTTATATATATATATATATATATATATATATATACTACAAGAAAATATCATTTTTGTAATAAAATTTTTTCGGTCTTTAAATTTACTTTTTCTGTTACTAATGATATTAGAGACAAAATTAATGATGGAGTTACATTAGGTACGTGATCTTTAGTGACGGAATTCCGTTACAAATATACTAATTTTTTTGTAGTGATATATATATATATATTAAATGAAATGAAATAAAATAATTAGTTGTGTTCGTGTGTATGTTCTTGGCCTCTTTGTGGGAGTAGTTGAATTTTTAACCTTTTGTTGAATTTTATCTTCTTTTTAATTTATACACACAAGTTTATAATTTTCGAAAAAAATATTCTCTTGTAGACAAGTAAGATATCTGCAAGAGATATACATCCTTTACAACTTTAGGAAGTAGGAAAAATATACAATTCTTCATTGTTCATCACAAATTATTTGGGGAGAATTTGCAAACAAGTTTGCTATAGATGTAATCTTAGAAATTTTTTTCGAAGGCCTTAATTTTTTGTGAATTTAGTGAGGGATTTATTCCTTTTCTATTTATCTAGCAAAGTATCCCTAAAACTAATTTTCAATTATTTCAAATCTTATTCCAATCAATATCAAATAAATTATATTACATGTTTCAATATGAAAACACCCATGCTTAGGGTTTTTCTCATAGTTATTGAGAATAGTCGTTGTCTTTATCCTTCAGTAGTGTGGTAGTTTGTCTCCTTTTCTCATTTTGAGAAGGATTTTCCCATATTCTAGTTAAGCTCGGTAGCTCGTGATCTATCAATCTTTATATTTTTGCCTTTTATCATAATTATGGTTTAAGTTAGTCTTGTTTGATGGCATTCTAGTACCATGGCAGCGGAAGAATTGAAAGATGTCATTCTAGACAGGATTAAGAATCTCAAACTCTCGAAAGAATAATCGACTTCATCCTAGCTAAAGAAGATATATGGGACACTAATAAAGGCAACCTCGCACTTGTTGATAGAGTTCTCTCCCCTAAACAACCGATCATTGGGGCTGTGATACTCCGAATTTAAGCCAATGCTAGGTTAACTCATGTATATGGATAAGCCAACGCTAGGCTATAAGATAGTGAATAGAGATTAAGTGGATTGATTAGACTAAACATGTCAATACCTCAGCACATTTTTTTTAGGGGCCCTGCTGAAAAAATTTTAGAATTGAATATATTTGCTCTAGAGTAATTTCAGAATGGACTTTTCCCAGGGAAGTCTCTTTGACACTCTTTCATCACCTAAGAGCAATCGGAATTACTAACAAGTGAGACTATCCATTTTGCAATGGTGGACACTATAATGCAGCCCTGTGAAGCATTATGAAAATCCTTAACTGGAATTGTCAAGAGTTGGGTCCCCTTGGACAGTTTGAAACCTTGACGATCTTAATCGTTGCTTTAACTCCGAAGTGGTATTCATTACGGATACTAAACTCCAAGAAGTTAAATTGGATTTTATTACAAGAAAGCGGAGTTAGGCGGGGTGGCACAGGATACTAGTGGGTTATCAGGAAGTTTAGGCTTGTGGTGGAAGTAGGACAAAAAAAAGTGTCTTATTGGTGCTAATCCACATTTCATTGATCTAATTATATAGACATGGCCAAATAGAACGGCCATTAGACTCATAGGCTTCTACGGCGAGCCAAAGGCAGAAGACATATCTTTGTTTTGGAATCTGCTACGAAGAATTTTGAACAAATTTTTGGGCTCTTGGACTGTTGTTGACGATTTCAATGAAATTTTTTAAAACAAAAAAAAAAAAAAGATTGGGGGTCGCCCTAGATTGTATCTCCAAATCCAAAACTTTCGAGTAGCTCCTCTCTTATGTGGCCTAGACGAAATTCCAGGATAAGGTCCGATTATAGAGTAATAGGATAAATGGCATGGAAAAATTCTATTGTAAACTGGACAGAGGGGTAGTTAACTCAACACGCAAATATCTTTGGTTAAGAACAATATGAGCTGTAGAAACAACAAAGCACGCAAAATATTTATATATAAAGCATCTTGGACATCACTAGAATGATTCAAAGAAACAATTCAGGAGGCCTGGAATTCAGCTAGGTCCCAAGGATCCTGCAATGCCCTGTTTTCGTGTAAAAACCTCTTGGTAGATTGGAGGAAAAACCTCCATAAAAACGTCAACTAAAAATTTATAAATTATCATAGAAACTCTCGAGGCCTAGATCCCAACACATATTACATTTCCTATGAAAATGATAGGCAGATAAAGGTTAATCTTGAGAAACACAGTGTTCTATCCATGTGTGCTTCTGCGAAAAAGACGAATTAACACGATCCAAGGTATTTCTTAGTCCGAACAAAAAATAGGAAGATATTTTGCAGGAGACTACAAATTAATTTAAAAATCTCTTCACAACGAGTACTCCTGCAGATCATTCGATCGAATTGGTTATTCACACAGTCAATTTTTCGGTTTCCAGTGAGATAAATGAGCTATTAACATTATAGTACTTGGCTAATGAAGTTAAGGAAGCAGTGTTTGCAATGAAAAACTTATTCTCTCCAACGCCGGATTGTTTTTGTCTGGTCTTCTTCCAAGAGAATTGTGACATCATTGCTGAACACATCACGAGAGAAATTTTCTTAATTCTCAACTAGAATGGTTCAGTGAAATCCGTAATTTCCACTTATTTGGTGCTCATACCCAAATTAAAAAGCCCGATTGATTTATCAGATTATCATCATACCGCTTGATAGTTCGAAATCACATGCGTTAAATGTTCATATAATATGCTATATTTGATTGATTTTGATTGGATTGTACCTAATTTATATGCGTATTGTTTATTTGTTGTATGCACAGAGCAAATATCAAATTTGGCGTAATTGGTAGAAAAAGTAAAGAAAAATTCAGATTTGCAAAACCTAGTTACTCATGGCCATGACTAACTACACCCTCTTGACATGGGAATTTAACTAAAGGCCCAAAAGCCCAACTACAAAATAAATAGGACAAAAATTAAATAAAAAGAGGTGAAGACACGCAGAAGAGCTAGAGAACGGCCAGAGCAGATATGCACAAGAGCAAGAGACTGACAGACTCATAGATCGCGCATGAGCAAATCGACAGAGAAGATTTCCCCTCCCATTATGACTTTATCTTTCTCTTTTGTTCTTTGTTATTTGATTATAGAGTAGATACTTTTCTAATTTGTGGGGTGATAATGTTTTGGTTCTTTTTTTTTTTTTTTGGAGATTCTTAATTTTCTTTATAAATATTTGTCTAATTCTGAGAATAACATTTTTTATTGTTAGATTGATTGAATACTTTGGTACCGATATTTGAATTAGTCTAATAAC